TCTCTCTCTCTCTCTCTCTCTCTCTCTCTCTCACACACACACACACACACACACGCAGGCCACTCCATTCGCAAATAGCAAAAAATGAAGAGAATAGAAACCGTTTGGAGAAATAAAGTTCTAGTTCATCTTCCCGAGCGTTCGGAGAAATAGAGCCGGCCTTAATTCTTTTGGGCTGGGTGGCCGTCTTACAAGCCGATCCCGATCATTGCAGCTTGTTGCCAATGGGACCGCGCGCGCAGTGCTATTGCACATGGAGGCTATGGAATGATTCAAGGAGGGTAGCCTACCCTTTTTGAAGTTCGATTCAAATATATGAAGATGACATTGTAGTCTTCAAACTTGATAAACAATCAGAGACGAGGTTAAACTAAAATTTCATTTCTTCCAGTTCATGAAGTGTAACTTGTGGTTTTCTTCTTCTTAGAACTCAAGAGGGTTTTTTTTACAGGCCGGGATGGTCGAGGAGATTTTGACACCACACTAGGCGTATATGTAGACTTATTTTCTTGTTATATCCCATTTACACATATGTGGATTTGAAAGCCGTTCAAATTTGATTCAAAGTTAGCATCATTTCAAAATAGGAGCCCTCTGCATGACTCTCTTCACCAGCTGCGGGTGGAAACCTCCGGTTATCAATTGATGCCGTGTCAGGTGACTAGACTGTTATTTCTCATAGAATATGAATGTGAGAGAAGCCGGTGCGCACTGGGAAATCCCGTTTCACGTCATGATTACTCATGATAGGCCTAAAAAATCATAGGCCAAGTTAAACCTTGGAAAGTGGGGTGTGGAGGCAAGGTTGTTAGAGGATTTGATTAAAGATGAAGTAAGAAAAAAGCTTTCTTTCTTCAATATTTACACTCAGTGGTTCTTAATTGCCCCCCCCAACCACACACACACTGTACGCACACACACTACGCACACACTGTAACATTTGCGGATGACTGAATTCCGATGAGAAATGAGAGACCTGTAAATCTATGCTTGTTTACATTAGGTCATTATGTTATTAGAATTTAGACATTATTAGTAGCTTTAGACAGGTGAGAAATTTCAAATTTCCTGAGGATAGGAAAGAGAAATTCTCAGGTTTACAGATCCAAGGACAGTGAGCAGATTTTTTAGTCACTATTTGTTACTAAGGGGATAAATAATGCTGCTCCCCACCCCATGACCATGGTGTCTATACTGCACCAGGAAAAGATAACCACAGAATTGGTCATTGTTTTGGCCAGGGTGATTCTAAAGCATTGATCTGCATTCTATCTATAGACAAGATAGTAATTTCTGAATGTAAGCACCATAGATTATATGACTTTATTGTGTTGGAAGTGCCATAAAACTCTTACTCCTACTTACAACTAAAACTAAATGTTGTGTGAAATGATATTCTTTTTAACTGTTATAAGATATTTTCAGTTGTTGTCCCGTACATTTGATTGAATCTGCTGTCCTCCTTTATTTCACAGCGTTGACAACAGCGACTTCATGCGAAATGGGGACTTTGTTCCCACTCGCATGCAAGCTCAACAAGATGCTGTCAACCTTGTGTGCATGTCGAAGACAAGATCTAATCCTGAAAACAATGTTGGACTACTCAAGATGGCAAAGTAATAGATCATATAATTGTTACACTTACACTTACTTTGTTTTATCCAGTTGCTGCTTCATATTTTTAAGAATTAAAAGCAAAATTAAAATTAATGCTCTTTCTTACTGAAATGGTTAAATAAATAATTTGTATTGGCAAGGGGCACAAGACCTGATATTTTGAAGCCGTCGAAGTTAAACTTCATTGATTTGGCAGTGAATATTGAGCTCTGTTCCAAAGCAAAAACAAAAACAAATTGTTGAGGCACTTTGACTTGTGGAACTGGTGTTACAAAGTCTTCTTAACAATGGTTTTACTGATTTATTTATTTTTTGGTGTGTGTGTGTGTGTTTAAGGTAATATATAAATCATCTAATTATCAAGTAATGGGATAATTCAATAATTCATGTATGTCTTAAAAAATATATAGTTAAAATTGTCCAAAATGGCCACTTGTTGTTGAGGAGAAAAGTGGCGGTCTTAGACAGGTGGACATCTTGGACTGTATTATTATGACAGAGAAACTCGAAGGGGGAAGTGGGAAGTGATCATTTGTGCAGCTTATAGTCTTGAACAGGTGGCCATTATTATAGCGGGTTTGACTGTACCATGTATTAGTAATTTATAATAAAAAATAAAAAACCTCCTTTAAAGTGTTGAGCAGGTTGCCCACGGCTGTTCACAGGTAGTACTTTAGTTCTACCGACACCCCACAGTGCCCCTGCGCTCAGCGTAACTCGAACCAGCCATTACCAACGGGTCAGGAGGTCAGCGTGGAGAATTGTACCTGACCATCAGTTTCGCAATGAAAATGTTATTTAACTACTTGTAGGCTTTGTTTGACCTCCGACTAAGCCCAAACTACAACACTGACTGTGCATCAAACCGTGTTCTGTGAATAAGCATCATCTGACATATTTCTTTGGGCACTCATTCAACTAATTAAGATAAAGTACGAGATGAAGAAGAAAGAAAAGTGTATACATGTTTAAATATTGATAGAGGGTCATGCTTTATTTATTTAATTAAATTTGAACATGATAATTGCGGACAATTTTGACAATTTTAAGATATTTGGTCAGAAATTGAATAAAGTTTCTAACTCACTTTGCTTCATCTTTGTGTCTTTCTCTAAAGCAAAGATATTGAGTCTTGAGTGGAAAATTAAAGCTTTTCGCAATCTGGCCTCGGTTATCCAAGTCCAGCTGTCACATGTGACTACTCTTGATTAAAACATATCACTCTAGGATCGCAAGTATCACCAGTCAGGGTGCCAGCACTTACAACCGTACACTATACCTGTCCCGTCTAGATTTGTAAAAAAATTGAAACTATCAGTTTACGAAGTTTTTCATGTTTACATTAAAATAACACTGAAATTGGAATCCGATTAGATAGAAACACGTCTAGGAGAATGCAGTCCATTAAAATCAAGATTGTGGAACTGAGATCAACCAAAGTTATGTCGTCTTATAGGGGGAGAGCTGAGCTTTTAAATGGCGGGTCATGTGGTGATATCACATCTTTAGATCTGGAGATATTGGGGTGGGGAAGACACCATAATTTGGAGGAATTGCATTACGGGGGCAGGCAGGTGAGCACGGCTGGCCGCTGATTTAATGACCAACACCTGGGTGGCACTGACTGCTGGCATGGAGCAACTAAAGGAGCGGTTTCTGGGCGAGTTCAACTGCCGTGTGTCTGGCCTTTTATCTGTAAGAAAATTGTCTCTATACAGTATAACACGGATAGGTCGAACATGGAAGACTCCAAATCACGCATCAATCGAATTGTGCTTGCAGCCCCTGTTTTTTTTTTTTTTTAAATCTTTGTAAGATATCCCTCGAACCACCGAGGCCAGTCCCGACGAATTTGAGTTATTCGACTGTATTAGGCCCAACTGTTGAACTGATTCCTCAATGATTTACTTTGTTTCCCCCACAGCGCGGAAGTGTTGGTTACTTTAACTTCCGATGTCGGCCGCATCCTTGCTCGTCTGCACCAGGTTCAGCCTTCGGGGAACATCAACTTCCTCACGGCAGTCAGGGTGGCTCATGTACGTACCAGTAAAGAACTTTGTTTAGTTGATGATTGTAACGGAATGTTATAACCTTTAGTTTATAGAAGGAATGTGCAAACTATTCGTTAACTCATGGTTTATGGAAGGACTTATAATTTTTGGTTTATGGAAGGAATGATATAATTCTTGGTTTATGGATATCTCTTGGTTTATGGAAAGAATGTTTATACTTGGTTTGTTGAAGGAATGTTTATACTTGGTTTGTTGAAGGAATGTTTTAACTCTTGGTTTATGGAAGGTTATTCCTCTTTTGCTCAGTCAATTTTGTCACCCAAGTTTTTAGGGTAATGAAATAAATAAAATAATTTCACTTTATCGATCCCTTGTATTTAGTGCATTCTCTGGAGATCATAGACTGAATGTGATTTTTCAAAATGTATCTTTTAGAAATGTTATTCAATTCTTAGTCCTTTCATATTTTAAAACATTTTTATCGACATGTTTATTTGTTTGTTTGTTGTTGTTTTTTTACAATTGTGTGTTCAGTTTTAGGTTTACCAAAATCAAACCGTTTTCAGTTGTTTAGATTTATCCTGCATAAATTTGTCTTCGTTTTTTTTTTCATTCACCAGCTCGCCTTGAAGCACAGACAAGGACGCAACCACAAGCTCCGGATTGTTGTCTTTGTTGGAAGCCCTGTAGATGTTGATGAGAAGGAGGTAAAAAAAAAGTGCATATATGTGTCGTGATGTGGTGGAATTAGGCCCTTGTTAATTTTTGGGCATTTGTAGTTATGGGTATAATAATTGTATAAACGAGTATGCTGAAGATGAAATTACAGCATGAGCTAATGATGATAGTAAAATACATGAATTATGGTTAAAGAAATAATTTTTGCTTTGACGCTTCATAAGTGGTAGGCCTACTCAGTATGTTTAATTTTGGGTAGCATTGAAAACTGCCATTCTGTTTTGGTTTTCTTTTTTAAAATTTGAGACAATGGGATGCTGTCGCATATTATGTCTTCATAATTTTGAATGTGTGTAATGGAGTTGTAAGAAGGATGTTTCTTTTTGCTTTCCCAGATAGTGAAAATTGCCAAAAGACTGAAGAAAGAAAAAGTCAACGTGGATGTAGTCAACTTTGGAGAGGAGGTAATACTGAACGTCTGGTTTGTACTGTGTCTGTAGAGGAATTCATTTTTGTTTATTACTCTCTTGTAACACCTCTAATCTTCAGCACTTATATGGCCTTATTGTGTTGCAAGTGCAGTTTTCTAACTAAATGTGTATTCGTGGTAATAGTAGTCTATGTTGGTTTAAAAAAAACAAGAAGTAAAGATGAGATGATAGAGGAACAAAAAGAAGTTAAATGGATTAGCGACTCTTTCTTCATACCACCAGAGAGGGAAATTGTTATTGCATAGCTCCTGTACATTAGTATGGGCTTATGTGTCTGGTTTGTGATTTCTGAAATTATCTGTCCTTCACACTTTAGAGCAATCATTCATTTAGAGCAATCATTCATATGTCATATCAGCTTTTTTTTTCTTTCACACTATTAAAAAACATTTTTCTGTCTATGTGTTGTAGAAATTGTTTATTTCCCTTCCCACAGGATGTGAACACTGATAAATTGACTGCGTTTGTGAATGCTATCAATGGCAAAGATGGATCAAGGTATGATCTGACATGCTGGTGCTGAAAAGTCATTGTAGCTTTGATTTTTGTTTTACGAAAAGTCTAATGTACATTGAACTTTTTGTTGCTTTTTTTTGTTTGTTTGTTGAAGAACTTGAATCAGATTTGCATAACATCCTTTTTTTTCTGATTCTGTTTCCATTGGTCACACACTACCTATTGTTATTGATGTGAAAATGCACGAGCTTAGTTGCAGTATTTTCATGATTAATTGTATATCATGTGAAAATACAGATTTTTATTTGCGATACGGTTTATTTGCCACAGTCGGATTGTAACATAATGCAAACATATTGGGTTTTTGGAGACGTCGATTTTTTTTCCCCTAGCTCTGAGTTTTAGGGAAGCTTCCGGGGAAAACTCTTGATTTTTGGTCATTGAGTGGTTGGCATGTCTGACATTTGGAATTCCTGTGCCTGACACTTGTAATTTTTATGTCTGACATTTGCAATTCCTGTACCTGACACTTGTAATTTTTATGCCTGACATTTACGATTCCTGTGCCTGACACTTGTAATTTTTAGCCTGACATTTACGATTCCTGTGCCTGACACTTGTAATTTTTATGCCTGACATTTACGATTCCTGTGCCTGACACTTGTAATTTTTAGCCTGACATTTACGATTCCTGTGCCTGACACTTGTAATTTTTATGCCTGACATTTACGATTCCTGTGCCTGACACTTGTAATTTTTAGCCTGACATTTACGATTCCTGTGCCTGACACTTGTAATTTTTAGCCTGACATTTACGATTCCTGTGCCTGACACTTGTAATTTTTAGCCTGACATTTACGATTCCTGTGCCTGACACTTGTAATTTTTAGCCTGACATTTACGATTCCTGTGCCTGACATTTTGTTTCACTTTTTTCTTTCTTTCTCTCTCTTCACAGCTCTCACCTGGTCACCGTGCCGCCGGGCCCCATGTTGTCAGACGCTCTTCTGAGCTCCCCGGTCATCGTGGGAGAGGACGGGGCAGGAGCCAACATGACCGGCGCTGGCTTTGAGTTTGGCGTCGATCCCAACGAGGATCCCGAGCTGGCTTTGGTATGCTGACCTGTCTCACTGTCTCTCTACTGCTGTAGTGACCCTGTGTGTTTTGGAATTAAGAAAGAATTTCACGGCTCTTGTCACTCAAATAGGTCTTAAAAATGCTAGAGTTTAGAGATGTTACAACTGAGTAACAACCGTGCCCCAGATCTTTACTTTACTTTGACTTTTTTCTCTGCTTGTACCAATGGGTGTCGCAGGGAAATCCGAGATCCATCCTTTAAAAAATTTTTTTTTTCAGCAAGTCTTCATCTCTCCACATTAATGTGTCACTACAGTTTCATTTTTCATGGAATGGCCCTTATATGCTTTGACAATAGATGGTATTATTTTCGACCATGGACCAGTGTTTGTGATGTAGCGGTTGAATGCTTCACTGTTGCTCGCACGAGACCCGAGTTTTGATTACTGAATGGGAAAGAATTTTCATCGAGTATCTCAGACTTTCTACTAGGATTTGTATCCATCTCAGCCTGGGTTTACCCTGACAGACAGGGTTGTAAGCCTTCCCCCAAAAGGATCTAAATTTAAAAAATCAAACTTGCATTAAAGAAAATTGTACTTAAAAAAAGAACCAAAACAAAAAACATTTCTACCATGGTTTGTTTTTGTTCCTGCAGGCTTTACGTGTGTCCATGGAGGAGCAGCGAGCACGTCAAGAGAAAGAAATCCGGGACACGACCACGGCCAACACAGGAGAGTCTGGCGCTGTCTCAGCAGGTCTGGCCACTGTTCTGACTGTTCAGTTAGAAGAAGCCCACGTGCCACACAAAATTTTAAAAAAAAATTCATCTTTTTTTTAGCTTTTCCGTGGCCGCATATGTTTCTCCTTCATGTATCTTTTCGATATGAGGGTCAGTTATGTGTTATTTACAGTTCGATCCTCACGTTGAAAAGATTGTGACTTAGAAGCTTACGGCCTCGTGAAAGCCAAAAAATAGATTTTAGAAGAGTGTGGCTTACATGTTTTAAAAACTTTCCCTTCGAGTTGAACCTAGAGGGAATGGGGTCACCTTTTTATGCCTCAGGACTTTGTAAAGTTTAAAAAAAAAGATCATGAATTGTTTGAGTGTTGAAGAATAGGTCATTGCCATCAAAAGAAAAATGAGTACTTTTAGCCGTTTTCCTCAAATAGAAATTCCCTTTTTTAAAAATCTTGCTGCAGTGGTGAAATCTACTGGTTAATTTTATTTGGAGGAAATCCAGTCTGCATTGGAGATGTTTAATTTTAGCACTTGTCTTTCATGTGTGTTTCTCTCATCATTTCTACAACACAGAAACTGTAATTTTAACCCCACTCCTGCCTGCTCTTGTCGGGTGATCAGGGTTTTCTGAAACTAATTGTGGAAGAACTCTCATTCAAATGAAGTCAGCGTGACTTTTGGATTGGTGAGATCCTCCACTTTTTATAGGTATTTTTAGATTCTCTCTCAGGCTATTGTGAAGAAAGTTGTCATCATTTGAATCTGATGCTTTTTCACCGATTTCCTGAACTTTTGAACTTTTTTCCTCTTGAGTTGAGCTCGAATGTACATTTTATAGATCCCTTCAGCAGAAGATGGATATCATATCAATAAAGAGGAGGCTTAAATGAACTACGGGTTTATGACTGCTCAAAAGGAGAGTGAGATATGGATGAAGATTTAGATCTTGATCTTGTTGTTGAGTCAGAAGGCGAGGATGAAGTTAAAGATGAAAATGAAACTATAATTGATCAGTGGACCATCTTTGCCTGACGAGAAACAGGGATTGGTCTAGAAACATTTATTGCTACTTGAATTTTGAAACTTAAATTTTCAGTCTGTGTTTTGCAGTTTATTTGATATTTTTATCATGTGCAGCTTCTTTTCTTGGCAATCAAAAAAGAGTTTAATATTGCACAAAGTTATCGCCGTTTCTAGTAGAGGGAGCAGATTATTTTCAGAACAGGGGCTTAGATGGGACTGTGTTATTGAGCTGCTGAGATGAGGCATATGTTCTCTGGGGTGGTTTTCTCTTTTCTATCAGACTACTATTTTCCTTACTCCTTCTCCTTCTTTTCTTTATTTGCGACTATTTTGTAACACGTCTTATCGTCTTTGGCACTTTTATGCCCTAATTGCCTTGCAAGTGCCATAAAACTCTTTACTAAAACTTTGAATTAAAACTAAGAATTTGAATTCTTTTTGTAAATGATGTTATTCGCAATTGTTTGTAAATGATGTTATTCGCAATTGTGTTGCAAGTGCCTCAAAACTTTTCCTAAATCTAAAATGAAGACATGTTTTCCTCTCATTCCCCAGCGTCAGCGGAGGAAGAGCTGCTGGAGAGAGCCCTGGGCACATCCACAAACCCCGAGGAGTCGGCCCCTCAGTCGGTCAACCCGACCCCCAGCGGGCTGGACTTTGCCTCCATGTCGGAGGACGAGCAGATTGCTTATGCCATGAGGCTCTCCATGGAAAACTCGGGTTAGGAACCAGTTACACGCCTATTGTTTGAGGAAGGAAATGGGGGGGTAATTGTACGAAATTGTATTGGGTCAATACCTCTTGCAACACTGGCAGGTTATCATTTGAGGCAGAAACTCTGGATTTTGTCTGTCTCCGATAGGACTGAGCCAAATGAGGAAAATTTGTGTCATGATGTGCCTTTCTTAAGGACATCATGTTGAACCGAGTTGAACCTTGAGTAAGGATGCAAACTTGGTTCATATCAGATTACCTGTAGTTGTTCACAATTCAGACAGCACTGCTCCAGGTGGAATCTGGATGGTAAAAAAGATGCATTTCAATTTCCATCAACTTTGTTGACTGTGTTAAGAAATGTTCTGTGTTTTGTGGCAGTCTGGGCTTTTTTTTTTAGTATCCATTGCCCAATCCTATCAGAAAGACATAAACTGATTAGTATAATATTTTGCTTGCAATGTATAAGCTTTAGTTTGCACAAAGTTATGGTAAGGTTAGTTTTGTAGGCCTTAGATTGTACATTCATCATAATTTTTATGATTCACTTTCTTACTTTCTGCTTCTTCCTTGTGTTTCTTCTATATTATAATAACAATGTCCAAGACGTCTTCTTGTCTAAGACAACCTCTTTTTTCCTTTACAATGGGTAACATTTTGGACAATTTTAATTATCTCATTTTTCTGCTATCTTTTAAGATTTACTGACTTTCACTGTGGCTTTGTGTTTCTCTTTAGCTCAGCCGAATGCTCTATTTAGTAAAAATGTTCAAAATTGTAATGGTTTAACCTCCTTTGTACTTAGTAACACTGTAAAGTTATTTTAAAGGTGGGACCTCAGAATTTACAGTCCATCTCCAAAAGGAGAAAGCTCAATGGGAAAATGTATGCTTCCGCGGAAGCCGAGAATGTTTCTGAGTGTTCTCAGAGGGTCTGCAGGGGTAATGATAGTTGTAAAGCGCATAGAGCATGCTCTTGAGCATGGATATGGTTATATAAATGCAATTATTATTATTTATTAATTCATGTAAAGTGTATTTCTCAAGGGCACATCGGATTGAGCTGAACCCCAGACCCCCTAAACCGTCAGTCTTATGATTATGGGTCTCGTAACCGAACCACTAGACTGCCAATGCCATACAGTTTAGTAATTTATTCTGCTGTTAAGAACTGTTTAATAACATGGCAGTCTCAGTGCGTGGTCGGCGGGTGCTCTAGTGTGGTTTATTTGTCCCTTCTTCCATATCAAGCTTCCATATATCGTGTCTCTCCTTCTTGTTTTCATATGTTGCTCTTCACTTAACCTCGAATCTTCAACACTTACATGACCTTTTCGTGTTGCCTGTGCAATTAAACTCTTAAACTTAACTAAAGTGAAAAACTGAGATGTCAGTCTAACATCAGTAGCACTCATTATGATTTGGTATCTTTCCAGCTGTCAGCGATGATAACACACCAGCCCCAATGGAGACGGAAGACAGTGCAGGAGCGTCGGCTAAGTCAGGAGATCAGAAAAAGGTAATGGTTGGTTTTGAGACAGATCAGTCTTAACAGAAATGCAGTGGAATTCTCTTATATCGAACAGGGTTGATTAGAAAAATGAAGGAAAATAGAATCTCTAACTTAAAAAAAAAAACTTTTCGAGCTATCTCTCTAATCTAAACTGAAAACACAGTGGGGGGGGGGGGGGGGGGGGGCTGTTGCACAAGGGATAAGATCAACGGCAGAATTGAAAATGTCATATATTTTGTCCCCAGCTTCTGACTGGTGATGGGCAGTAAATGTAATGATGAAATGATCTGTGTGAAAGTCTGTGAAACCAAATATCTGGTAGACAAAACTAGTAGTCTTGGCTGTAGACCATACAGTTACAGTGTAGTGTGCAAGTTGTTGGGTAAACAATCTGTTGTATGATGCAAGTGCACATTTGAACCAAGCTTTTTTTTTTTGGGGGGGGGGGGTTCATAGTAGCATGCGCTTTGGCAGAGTTTATTGTGTACTGTTGTACCAGTCATACTTTTATGGTTTTGTGTATCATGTGATACGTTTTTTTGTCCCTCATTCTTCTTCACATTGTCACTTTTTTTCTCCCGCGGCAGGAGGAGGAGGAGGACTACTCAGAGGTGATGAACGACCCCGATTTCATCCAGAATGTTCTTCAGAGCCTGCCCGGTGTGGACCCCAACAGTGAGGATATACAGAGCGCCATGAGTAGTCTGACCAAGAAGGAGGAAAAGAAGGATGACAAAAACCCAAAGTGAGATCCCTGACTGACTGCACGAGATGAAACTTGGAAGTAGAATCTTGAGTTTATCGTGAAAGAGTACCGGAATGAGTATTTGATGGTATGAATAGATTGTGAAAGAAAATGGTTTGATAGTGTTGTGATGGCTTTTGCTCTCATTGGGAAGATAAAGGAATTAAATGCATTTTTTTTGCAAATGACCAGCTGTATTATTTTACTTGAATGCTTCACTTTGTCATCAAGCTGTTCAACCGTTCTAAGTCCAGAAAAGTCAAATTTTTCAGGAGAGAGATCAAACTTTTATCCTTTTCAAAGTTGTACCTACATGGTGTATCTTGTCTTGCTTTTTTTTCAACATTTAGAATTTTAATTTCTGCAAAATATTTCTTGTTCCCGTGCAACCGATACAGCAATATGAAAAATTTCAAATTTTGGGCTTATTACACCTGAACAGCTGGCCCATGATACAGTTTTCCCCCATATCTTTCCTTGTTTTTTGTTTGTATTTTTCCTCTGTGATTTGAATGGAATTATAGTACGTTATGTTTGGGTTGAAGTGAGTGTTCTATCTCGCTGTTTTGTCTTGTTTGATGACTGAGTGTCCGTAATCATTACTACTTTTAAGTTGAGAGTGTCTGATGAGTGATTTGAGTCGTGTCATTTGTACGTTTTACAAGATTTTGAGTTACTGTGTGTCCTTTACTTGGAAGTGTGTATGGCTACAATCTTTTGAAACCGTGCTTTGCTGCTTCAAAAATGAGCAAGGACAACAGACTCCAAAAATGTGCAGTACGTCCTGTCTCTTTGTGGCTGATGGATGAATGAAAGAATTTGGCAGCTGGAAGCTGATATTTGGTAAATAATTTCTTCAGATACAATTGCAACACTGGTTCTCCTTTTTGTGTGTTTTGTTCGTACAATAAAGCGATTATGTTCGTGTAAACTTTTTGTGTGTGTCTTACGTTTGATACCGGCATGAGTGGGCTATTGTCTGGCTGCTGCATCCCTGTCTTGATGTCAAGGGAAGCATATTGCTGATTCTTCCGTCTATCTTAATTGCAACTGGTGCTATGTTGTGGGTGGTTGGTGGTTGCTCCTTGGTGGTTTGCTCCATTCCTGTTTAAACATCTGTAGTCCTTATCTCTCCCGCTTGTTATTTGTTTATTTCTTACTCTGTAGTTCCACCTCTAATTTTCGGCACTTTTGTAACCAATTTGTGTTGCAAGTGCTGTAAGACTCTTAACTGTGGTCAACGCCGCTTTTCTTATCGTTATATGAAGGATATTTAGGGCAATAATACAAGTTAGGAAGATTTTGTATTATACTAGGGACTGAGAAGAGTTTCCTCAATATTTTTTTCACACACACTTAAAACACAATGAAACTCTGATACAAGGAACTCCTCCCGGGGCAGTGCCACTGACTGAAGTGTCTTTAGGCTTAGGCCATTCCCAAAGGGGGGACATTTCTCATTCAAGCATAGTAGAATTGTAAATGGGCTGACTCATGTCACGCTCATAACTGTGCCTGATCTACAACAGGGAACTGCTGCTTTTTCTTTCCTGATCCTTACTATTGTCATTTTCCTCTACTTTTGTATGTTTGTCACTCTCTTGTGACCTGCTATTTTGGGGTGCCTTGATAGTCGAAGCAGACCTTGTACTGTTGAAGCTAGAGAGGTGAGCAGTCTTAGTCTGATTCCCTGTAAAGACTTCTCTGTTGACTCCCACCCCTTGGCGCCCATATGACATTATGCAGTTGCGAGCGCCGTAAAACCCTCTACTATAAAAAAAAATGATACAAGGAACTAAGACTCGACTAAAACTCGGATTTAAATGAAAGGACAGGGATTCCCCATTTTTTAAAATTCATTAAAATCGACAAGATGCCCCTTATATATATATATATACAACAGACACCTTCATGTACTTGAAAAAACTTGTACTGGATGAAGTCACTTGCAATGTGATCAGCTCCCGCTGATGTAATTTGTTCATTTTTCTCTTGTAACGAACTCTATTTTTACTCTAACTCACTTCACGTGACGTCGATTGTCCTGCAACATTGATCGTTGGGGCTTAAATGATGATGATGATGATGATAATAATAATAATAATATTTAATAATAGCTCTAGTAATACATGTAATACTAATTGCACATACAACGCATCCATTACATGGATGGCTGGTGTCTCTGTAAATAAATCATTGATAGTCAAGGTCAAGGACAACACATCCACGTTCTAGAGCATGCTCTCTCTACTTTACAACTATTATTACCCCAGCAGAGCCAAGAACAGTTGGAAACATTCTCTGTTTCCTGGGAAGCTTTCAGTGCAAGCAGCTGATTAAGCACTTATACTTATATAATATAAACGCTAACAAACTGACAAGACCTTTCGCTGTATATATATCTGGGTATCTGTTCCCACCTGGGTGAAGTGAGGAAAATTCATAGAAAGCACCTTCTCAAGGAAACAATGTCAGACCCTTGACGGGGCTCGTGGGTGGTTGGCGGGTGCTCTGGTGTGGTTTGCTTCTTTTTTCCAATCAAACATCTATCTTCCTTATCTCCCTTCCTTCTTTTTTATGTTTGTTACTCTCTTGTAACACCTCTAATCTTCTGGCGCTCATATGACCTTATGCAGTTGGGAGCACTGTAAAACCTGTACTAAAACGAAAAAAAACCTGACAGGGCTCGAACCCAGAACCTTACAGTTGACAGTCTGAGAGGCGAGAGCCTAACCACTGTACACTTACTGCGTATAATAATAATATATCACGCACTGAGCACTATTGATTGTCTGTGGTGTAGCTATTCAATGTCGCACACAGGAGACTCGAGTTTGATTCCCAAGTGGGGAGAACTTTTATCGGGTACCTTGTGTCGTGTTCTTTCACTTTCCACCGAGATGTTGTATCCCTTTCTGGCTGGAAGAGTGGAAGAAACTTACCTCCTGCTCCTAAATAATCTAAATTGTGTGGATGGGGGCGTAATATCCACCTACATTAACTGACCTATCTGAGTAACAAAGCCATCTCTTACGACCAATCGGAGGTCATCGTTCACTTTCACACCGACACGTACATATGTACGTTGTTGACACGTGCTAGACGTGTGTTTTAGTGTGTGACGTAGGTCGAGAGGGCGGAAGGTGACCCGCACATATGCTCACATTTTATGCTTGTTGATGTTGTATGTTTGTAGTGCATTTTCAGAAGGGGGAGGTGGGTGGTTGGCGGGTGCTCTGGTGTGGTTTGCTTCTTCTTTCCTACGAAACATATATCGTCCTTATCTCCCCTTCTTCTTTTTTATGTTTGTTTCTCTCTCGTAACACCTCTAATCTTCTGGCGCTCATATGACCTTATGCAGCTGCGAGCGCCGTAAAACCTCTACTAAAACTAAAACAAGAAGGGGGAGGGCATAGTGTACGTGTTCCTGACGAGATACTACTAGAACGTGAGTAAGGATGCACATTCTTCTGTCGTATTTTCCCCCGGTGGCTGAGTAGCAGGGTGGCCACTGCCACTAGAGCTGGGCGAAGAGTCGATTCCAGAACCGATTCCCACGATTAATACTTCGAATGTAAAGTTCCTTCTCCTTTTTACGTAAACCAACGGTTTTCACATTTAAAAAAAATTTTCTTATTAAAAAAAAAAAAAGTTGATGCTTCGTAGTGTTTCGAAATTTCGAAATCAAGGTTAACCTAAATCCTGAAGACGTTCGGAGCCAACCAAGTTACCACCGGAAAAAAAAATCACATCATTAGAAAATAAGTAATTGAGTTCGGAGTCGATTCCTACGATTCCTAGCTCTCAATAATCGGGAACTCATCCGCCCAGCACTAGTGGCCACTGTCCCAAATTTCCCCGGACTCTTCTCCGGGATTCTGGAATTAGATGAGATTGAGAGCCTGATCACATACGATAGTCCCACACCAAAACCAGTTAAGTCCCACAAGACGTAATTTTGTTCGTTGTTACGCAATCTCATGTCATATCGTTGAGTGTCCCTGACTGGGATGTAAAAAGTGAGTAGGCCTAGGCCTAACTATAAAACCTTAAGATAGATTCTATAATATTATTGCAACTTCCTTGGCAAGCCTGGAACAGTGAACATAGGATAGACATGGGTTTTTTGTTGTTGTTGTTGTTGTTGTTTGTTTGTTGTTGTTTTTTGGTAAGCGTTTTACGGCGCTCGCAACTGCCTAAGGTCATATGAGCGCGCGGGACACATCAAATTATTTTCAGTAGGTAGGGAATTTTGAATTTTGCCCGGGTGGCGGCCGGAGCCAACTCTGATCGATTTTAGACCACCAAAGGATCTTTAAAGTGTGGAACTTGTACACAGGACCTCCGAGAAGGCTAGGTGTAGATCGTTCATACAAGAAGATCATGGGTGTGGCTGAAAGACAGCAGTGAGAAGGAACTAAGGAGTAGCAGTAGAAAGGCTGCAGAAAGAATCAGGAGCCCAGAGGAGGGGGCAAAGGAGGTGAAGAGGTGAAGGCAGAAAGTGAAGACGAAAGCAGACGACAGAACATTGCTAGAGAGCAGGAAAGGAGGTGAAAGGAGACAATTTTTTAGATAATTTTTTTTCTGTCTCTTCCGGGATTTGAATCCGGGACCTTTGAATGAGAGGCGAACACCTTAACCTCCAGGCCACGAGAGCCTCCGACCTGGGTCTGCGGGATGAGTTGTGCGCTGGTCAGTGGAACCAAACTGTAGGCTACTTTGCCGTACGGTAGGCTTATTACAGGTTCAACACAGCAAAACTTGTTTGACAAACAATATATGTTACTTTATTAGTGGTTGGTTGGCGGTGCTTTCTGGTGTGGTTTGCTCCTTCTTTGCTATCAAACATGAACTATCGCCCTTATCTCTCCTCCTTTTTTGTGTTTGTTACTCTCTTGTTACACCTCTCATCTTCTGCGTTTATATGACTCTCTGAGAGAGAGAGAGAGAGAGAGAGAGAGAGAGAGAGAGAGAGAGAGAGAGAGAGAGAGATGCCTACTGACGGCTATACCGTGTACTCGTAACTGCGACAATCTTAAAACTTGCACTCTCACTCAAAGATCGTACTTACTATCGAAAGTAAATACATTTATTATGTATAAATAACACTTTGACTTATTCAGTTACAATCCAGATTAATTTTTCAGCTGAGTATGTTATCCTGAGGTTTTACAGTATTCATTGTCTCGCGGTGCACCATACACTTTGGCCTTGCACTCCCCAAATAGAACAGTCTGTGTAAGCCAATATAAAAACACAGCATGAGATCATCTTCACGAACAGCTAGACCTGAAACAGACATCGGCGATCATGGTTCAACATTCATTTCTCTGTGTGGGTGCTCTCAAAAAACATATTAAGATATATCTTATTACGTGCAATCGTATGCTTCTCCCGTCACCCACAGTTCAAGTTCTGTAAGTTGTTCTTGGTCCACTGACCACAAACACCTTCCTCTTTTGTCTTCTGTTTTTTTCTAGTGAGAGCTATGTTCAAGGCGTTTATGTTGATTCAACTGTTGTAGAACATGTATACAAGTATATGTCTCTTCCTTATAATGTGGTTTGTATTGCATGTACTGTATGGCTCACGCGGGCTCCTTTCGCCATTGCCTCATTTCACTTCTTTCTATATTTACTTCTCAATGTTACCTAATTCCTAAGAAACCACATCTTTTTGCCTTTTGTTTGTTTTCACTAATGCAATGTCTACTACAATACATGTACAAAGAAGAAGAAGAAGAAGAAGAAGAAGAAGAAGAAGAAGAAGAAGAAGAAGAA